TTGATATGCCAATAACACAAGATGAATATAAATACTTTTATTCCAATTCATCATCCAAGGAATGACACAATTCTCTCTTCTCAAGTATCCTCAACAATTAGTCATTTCAAGACTATTTCAACGTTTTGAACAATAATTTTCAAAATGAACAATAATTCTCATATTCCCTGAAATTCATTATTTATATAAATATAAATAAGAAAATTTTCCAAACATCCATTTATTTTGACACAAAAAATAAATAAAACAATATCATTCATGGATTTTCAATCTCTTAAAAAAAATCCCCAAATTCTAGGTTTTCTCATCAAAACTATACAACTCAAATCTTTTGAAAGAAAACTTTTCAAAATCATATTTTCTTCAATCAACGAAGATCAAAACCCATAAGATCTTTTTAAAAGAACAAGAGACAAACCCACTTTCAAAATCCCTCAACTTCTGTATATCATTAGCTTCTTATCCCTAAACTATGCTGGTTTGATTCCTTGCAATGGGATACGTAGGCAACCTTCAGGTTCAACCACATGTATTGCATCTTTTTTGTTTTCCCAAGTCTAACGGCCTTGTCAAAAAGGTCATCTTCGGGCCGAAACTCGATCTTCACCGCACACAACGAAGCCCTCGAGAAGTTAACCAACTTTGATGAAGAAACTATGGCAGAACTCTAATGGATCTTAAGAAATCAAGGTTTTGGTCCAATTTGGCGTAGGGAAATGTGGAGAGAAAGGAGAGGAAAGGGTTTTTAGAGAGAGTGAGAGAGACCTAACAAGAGTGAGATACACTTAGCCTAAAGAGAAGAAAAGACTAAAATTTCGGACTCACCTACCACCGCACGTGCGGTGCTTCTCTCGCACTTGCACTCCCACACTTGCATTTATTGCAGTAGCCAAACAAGCCCTCCCTTGTTTTTCGCATGTGTGGCTCAAGTAACTTCGAATGCATTTTGTATTTCTGTTTCAGGGGTGCTGCCCCTTGACCCCGCCAGGGCGCTGCCCTCAAACTCGCCAAGGGGCGTTGCCCTTGGACCTCCGCGAGCTAACCGGGTAGCTAGATCCCCACCTGCCCAGTCGATGTGGCAAAACATAAAAGAAGGGTCGAAACCGAGATCGCTACATATCATACCCGCTTAGGTTTAGGTATTTCCACATTTTGCATGACACCCCACATTTGTAGAATTTATACGAAGGCTTTCGACCTACCTTTGTGTCACAATGATTATGAGACTCTCAAAATCATATCACAAAAAATACATTCCCAGATCATCATCAACCAAATTAAGTCTTTTCCAAATTCAAGGCAGCAAAACATATTTGGTCCAACCTATCACTCTGAATTCAATAGCCTTATTATTAGGAATCACAAACCTAGTGATCAATAGTCTACTATTCGAAACTTCATAACATGGTCAGTAGTCATATCACTAGGAATCACTAATTTCTCATCATGTGGTCAGTAGACTTTCCACTACTAGGAACCACAATGTTTTAAATGTGATCAATAGTCACTTTTATTACTAGGAATCATCATGTCTTGACATATGATCAGTAGCCTCTCCACTACTAGGAACCATTATTTCTTAACATACCTATTTACTACTAGGAACCATAATCTCAAAATTGTGTAGCCAGTGGTTTAACACCTCATAGAAACCACCGGTTTTCTATCTCTATGATTAGTGATCTTACACTCACTAGGAGCCACTAATTTAAGAATATATTTGGAATTTAAAAATTCAGAAAATATATTCACCCACCCTAACAGGTTGTCTCATCTTTGCTTTTAAGCAAAGCCACATAGCAATCATACGTGCTATAATTGACACAAGGATAACATATTAATTGCCTCTGATTAATTCAAAGATATTATTATGCAATCTTATGGTTTCCTCTAATCACACTTGATCTCTTTTGATTTTCCTTTAAGAATCTCACAAGGCTTAAGGTTGTCAAGTGGAACAACATTTCCTATTGTCACATTTGAAGCCATTTCCAAAAACTACAATAAAATTCTAACTATTCTATTTTTCCAGAAACCAAATTAACATTAGGAAATCCCAAAAATTGAAATTTAATTCAAAACTAATCTCATCACTAACTTCAAAATCGAACAAGGTCAGGAAAGTTACCTTAGACAAAATTTTCAAGAGCTTGTTGACTTATTGTCAATGGGAAACAAATTCAGAATTAAGTTTCCAGGGGATAAACCAGGTTAAAAAACTAATTCCCAAGCAAAGAAAAATTGCAACCAGAATTACACCACTCATAAAAGTCAATTGGTACTCCTAGAACTAAGCCAATTATTTTTGAATAAAAATTAGAAATATTTTAGCTAATGCTAAAATTTTGTTTCTTTTCCCAAAAACGAAAATACTTTGGAAATAATCAGATTATAACCAAAGGCTTTCTCAAACATTGGTCTTCTACCACTTTGGAATTAATTCCAAAGACTTCATCAACCATATCCATCTTAGTTGCCATTTCTGAACATAAGTCAAAAATACTCTTTAGCCAAGGCTAAACTTTGGTTTTTATTACAGAAACCCAAACCACTTCAGAATAATAAAATTAATCCAAAATATTTTCTCTAAACCCGAAGGTTTATAATTTTTTTCCTTCCCTCTTTCCTTTCATTATAGTGAAACCATTACAAATTAGAAATTAAAACTACTACGAATTGAAATACAGTTGTTACAATTATAAATTGCCCAAATCTGCAAACTTGGAGTTCACAGTTGCGTTCGGGATGATTTGTTTAGCCAAGAATATACTTCTCCACCAGTAATGCTTATCTTTGGATAAAACACATTACAAAAAATAAACTCAGTGCTCTATTCCATGTAAAAGGGATGTGTAAAAAACTATATCCACGTTACCGTTAAACCTCCATGCTCGCTGTTTATATACACACTTGGATACAAAACGAGTTAATGAACCAATAAATTATATAATTCATATTACATAAGTAATTTAAGTTACAATTTGCATTGTGTAATTCAAACAGCTATAGATGCATTGCAATTATAAGAATGTCATGAGTTTCATGGCTATGAAATAACTACATATAGAGGAATATTATGGTCATAGCATTGGTATTCCAACCATCTAACTATGAGCAAATATATAAACAATAGAGTTAAAGTTCTACTTACCATTCCATGAATACAAAAATATTTTGGAGTAATTTCCTTGAATACACATCAAGACATGAAAGAACTCATAATTGACACAATAAAAAAAACAAAAAACAAAACACATAGAATGAATAAGAGTTAATGTCATTACAATGCCAAGCTTTACCATCATGCGATAATGCAACATAATTATAAACAAGCACAGTAATAAGACTATTATACTAGAAAAATCGAAACTATTTTATTAAATTTTCTCCCAAAACAAACTTGTTTGGAGATAGTCTATACTGTCGAAAACCTCTCAACTAGCCGAATCTCTTGAAATTCTCAAAATCCAACTCTTTATTTTTTCCAGAATTTAATTAATCAAATTAAATTGAAATTGTTACCAAACTTTCAAAATGACATACGGAATAAATCCGAAATTAGATTGAACTATAAAGTGAATAATTAAATTGACTAAAATTCCGAGGTCCAATATTATTTCTTGTTCCACGCAGAGGTAATCCTGTTCAAATCAAAAATTAGTAGTCCAATTTACTAATTCCAATTGATTTTATTTGTTCGTATTATATATCCTCCTTTCTCGCTTAGGTAAACCTGTGAAAGTTAGCTACAAAAAGAAAACAAATCAACTAAAATAGTAAAAAACTTACATAATAAAATTCTTATTTTATTTTTATAAACCACTACAAGAATTTACACATTTGCCGACCACTTTTGCCGACCAAAAAAATTTTGGTCGTAAAAAAATGACATTTGGCGACCAAATATTAATTAGTCGCGAATGATCATTATTTTTGGCGACCAAATATTATTGGTCGCAGACCGCTTAGGTAAACCTGTGAAAGTTAGCTAAAAAAAGAAAACAAATCAACTAAAATAGTAAAAATTTTACATAATAAAATTCTTATTTTATTTTTATAAACCACTACAAAAATTTACACATTTGCCGACCACTTTTGCCAACCAAAAAAATTTTGGTCGTAAAAAAATGACATTTGGCGATCAAATATTAATTAGTCGCGAATGATCATTATTTTTGGCGACCAAATATTATTGGTCGCAGACAGTGGTATGTGTTTGCCGACCAACTACAAATTTGGTCGCGAAAGGTCACATATTTTTTGGCAACCAAAAATTTGGTTGCCAAAAACTTATTTTCAGCAACCAAAAAAAAATTAGTCGCCAAATTTGTACTTTTAGCGACTAATATTTTAGTCGCCGTTGATTGAGATTTGGTGACTAAAAAAGTTTGTCGGCGAAGGTACCTTTTCTGTGACTAATATGGTCTTTTGGTCGCCAAAAGTTTGGGAGGGAAATTTGATTTGAAAAAGAGGTGGGAATTAAATTTTTTTTGGACAAAAAAATTTGGTCGCCATTTTTTAAACGACATCGTTTTGTACCACGCATTCACCTTCACATGCTCTCTCTCTCTCTCTCTCTCATTTCCTTTTGTTTGCATCGCTCTCCTACTACTGATTACCCCAACCCATTCCATCCACCAGCTCTAGCTATGAAAAAGCATATACATACACTTTCAAAACCCATATCATAAATTTCTAGGGTTAGAATTTTCAAATGCAAATCCATTCTTCTTCTTCTTCTTCTTCTTCTTCTTCTTCTTCTTCTTCATAGATCACAGAGAGAGAGAGAGAGAGTGTGTGATAAATTGAAATTGATAATGCCAAGGCAAAATCGGGTTGTGGAGGGTTTGATTCCCGGATCCTGCAAGATCCAAAAGAGGGGTTGCTCTTCGTCTTCGTCTTTGTCCTCTGTGTTGCAAAATTACCGATTCAAGTGGGCCATTTCGGTGGGTAAGCCTCGGGGATCCAGATCGAGCACTCCGGTTCCGTCTTAGAGGACGATGGCGGCGGCTTTGGATTCTCCCAAGTACGTGCCGTTGCCGAGCGGTGGTGGGAGGTCAAGGCCGGTGTCTGCGAGGAAGTTGGCAGCGACGCTGTGGGAGATGAATGAGGTTCCGTCGCCTAGGGTTGGGGACAATTTGGAAGAGAAGAAAGCGGTCAAGAGAGAGATGAGAGTTAGAGAGAGAATGGGGGTACCGAGATCGGTGCATTCGGGTTCTCTACCTCCGCATTTGTCTGATCCATCTCACAGTCCTATTTCAGAGGTGGGTTTCTTTTTCTTTTTTTGATAAATTTCTTTGATTGCTGTTTGGTGCTGAGAAAACAATTGAATAAAAAGGAGATTTTTAAATTGTTTGTTTTTGTTTGAACCAATTGAGGCAGAGCAGAGCAGAGCAGTAGCAATTGGAAGTGTTTGACTAGATTTTGGATCTATTTGGTTGGCTTGATGTCATTTTCAAAAAATGAAAATTTTGAAACCCTTTCAATTGATCAATCAAAATCAAAGCAAAATTTTATTCAAAAAAAGAAAAAGAAAAAGAAAATATGTTTTCTAATAATTTTCAATTGCCAGTGGAAGTAGATTTCTAAAACTTCAGAAAATTACTAGAATTATGTTTCAAGTTTCAAAAAAATGCTTATTTCAGGGGAATTTAACAACCCCCCCCCCCCCCCAAAAAAAAAATATTGGTAAACTGATGCTTGTATGGGATGATTGATTTTTTCGCATATCTACTATAATTTTCGAGAATGGGAAAAATGTTTTTGAAACCCGAATAGAATGGAGCATTATCTCAGAGACTTTGAATATTGGGAATTTGGTGGTTCTTGTGCTTTGGGTTCATTTTTATATATTATTTCATTTTATTGTCTTGTTATTTCATTTTAATGTTGGATTTAGAAAAGAAAAAATAAAAAAACATAATTAGGTTTAAGAGCTCCATGTATGTGGTTTGGGTCGATCCCCTTGTGGTTGGTATATTGCTATAGGTGGGGCACCGCTGAATTTTCTCCAAGAATATTTTTCTTTCTTTCTTATTTTATTAATTTCTATGGGGAAACTTCCTGCGGGGTCATCTTGAATGACTTAGTTGAACCGATTGGAATCTCAATGTTAGTTTTGTTCCTAGTGGAGTTGCATTTGTATTTGACTTGCCGTAAAAAGAAGTTGCATGTGTTTTTTACATGGTTATCTAGTTGATATCACCTAGTTTGTAAAGTAAATATTTTTTCATATTGCAGTAGGTGATCTATTCTTTCATATTAACTTAGCTGTGCTATTGTCAATGCTTAGTATCAACCTTTTTTGAGGTTGGAGGAGAAAATGTTGCCTTTAGTAAATTTCCACATTTGAGGGTATTAAACAATGTTGAAATTGGTGATAGAGCCATTGTTTCTAATTAATTTAGGATTTTTTTATCATGGCTGCCAAATAGTAGTTCATTTTTTAGTTGGTTTGTGCACATGTAACTTTGTTGGTATGGGTGTATTAAAACAGAGACTTGCATTCGTATCTATAACACATTCGTAAATTGGCTGTAGGTACTGTATGCGTTGGGGTCTGCTACCCTCTACAAAAAAATTACAGGAATGTGCTTGGAAAAAGCTTTACATCCAGGTATATTTAGGTTCGACTTACAGCTTTTTGGTGAGCATATCAAAATCCATATAAGACGTTGATTTTTTATACCCAAGCTCTTCTTCATTCTTTTTCTTCTAATTTATCAAGTGAGAGGAAGATTAGTTATTGACTTTAAAGAAACTTGTCTCTTTGAGCTTACTCAGATTAGTTATGTCCAAATGCAGGCAGCAAAGAGAAGCCAAACACCTCTTCCTTCTCAGGTAAACAGGGGTAGCTATTGGGCTGAAACTTTTGCCTTCTAAGATTTAAATAGGGTATTTGGGGAATCACTGTCTTTCATTCTTTCTTGTAAACTTTGTACAAATCAATAGGCCTTGGAATCTAATCCATAACTTGCTAATGCATGAATCCCCTTTTTTCTCCTGTTTGGTGGTGGGAGGGTGGGGGTATAGGATTTTGGATATTGGACTCCTTGAAAATATTTATTAATGATAGTTTGATAACCGCAGACATCTCGCATTCTTTCTTATCCCCCACCTCTCCAAACAACTCTCCAATTCTCTCTCTCTCTCTCTCTATCTTCTCAGATGAATTATGTTGGAAGCTTATTGGAGGTTTGCTTACATTATTTTTTCTTTGTACTTGCCATAGTGGATGAACCATGCATAGGGATTGACTTCTTCAAATGAGTCTCAATGAAAATTAGCAAATGCATTTCCTTAATTACTATTTATTCCTTTCCCCCCCCTCTCTCTCTTTATATATCTGAAGGTGAATGATGACCGGATTATTCTTGACAAGACTCTTACTGATCAAGTGTCTATATGGAAAAGCAGCAGAGGCCTGACTGATAAGGTGGTCTTGGACCATGATTGCTCTGGAGAAACATGTACTTACTATCAAATTGGAGATGTATTTGTTTGTGAGAAGACTGGGTAGGTTCATGATATGAAACACTAGTTGTGGTTATTGAATGTGGCAACCTTGTTTGTTTGTTTAATAGGTACAATTACATAGATTTTTATTAATGGTTTATATTCTTTGTTCATGCAGTTTGTGATGATACATATAGAGAAGCTGTTTTGGACCTACAAATGAGCTTTTGGTTTGTACAATATCTGGACATTGTTTTGATAGATTTCTGTCACCAGCTGAAATGGAACCAGACACTGTAAGAGAGATCTCCTCTAGCTTACACTTTTGGCTTTTCGTCATAAAACACACTTAGACCTGTTAAAAATATGAAAATGAAAAAAGAAGAGGTAGACCTTCACTGTGCATGTCTATGGCTATCATATGATGCTGTTGGCTCGTATACTTCACAATACATATATGAACTTATGATTGTTGGACCATCATCTCTTCATAGTGTAATCCTTTTCATTTGGTTAATCATATATGCATGTGTTTCAAACTGATATATGTATATAAGTGCATGTTATATATCTGACGAATGTATATTTAGAGTAGCCAAAAATATGTTAATATTGAAACTAGTGCCATATTCTAGTGACTTACTCATTGTTACTTGAGATGTAAAATTTAAAGTTAATCTCTGAAATAGTGAATATGTCTCGACATAGATACATCATGTGCATATTCCATGCCTACCCATGTTTTGTTGCGTCTCCTGGGAGTATTCCATATTTTTTGAAGCTTTAATTTGACATAGATCTGAATTTAGGAGAACATTGGAAGACTTGTGAGTAGATACGATCTGAATGTTCTGTGAACGAAGTTCTGGAGACATGTTCAGAAAGAGGATAAGAGCTCTTCTGTTGCTGTAATTTTATGCTTCTTTGGGGTATTTTGTTTGATAAAATGATAAATTGACTGCTAGTTACTCTATCGAGCTTTTTAGCTGGCTGTTATTATTGTTTATCATCATAGCGGGGACTGTACTTTCTTATTTATGCTCCGTTTGTTTGGGTGGAAAATGTTGTCCACTTTTAAAATGGGAAAAATATTTTCCGGATTAAAGTCTTACTAATACTACCATCACCTTCACCACTGCCACCGCCACCGCCACTACTTATACAACCATTAGTACATTAGTTTCAACAGGATGCAACCAAACATATTTGGAAAAGATCTTCTGAAACAAAGATTTTCGTAAAAAAATATTTTCCGCCAAAACAAACGGGGTATTAGCATGTCACCAAGTCTGCCCATTTGATTGCTTTTTTGTTAAGCAGGAGATAGGTGGCTTCGTGTATCGTTTTTGGATTTGATACTCAAAAATCTTCTCTCTTTTCTGAAAATCCAGGAACAGCAGCAAGGTGGTGTTTCAGATGAAGCAGAACCATTCATGGGGTCTGGCCGTTTTGGTAAATATCCTACTTTGCCTCTGCATCATGTTTATTGATTCCCAAAACTTTTTATTCATCTTGTGTGTGTGTGTGTGTGTGTGTGCGCAAGGTCAAGGTTGTCTCTTCCCCTTTTCACGTTGCAGTTAAGGTCAACTTTTTATGTCAACTTTTTATTCGCCTCTGGCCAGATGGACGAAACTTGCAGCTGCACTTCAGGTCAAGGTTGTCTCTTCCCCTTTTCACGTTGCACTTAAGGTCAACTTTTTATGTCAACTTTTTATTCGCCTCTGGCCAGATGGACGAAACTTGCAGCTGCACTTCAGGTCAAGGTTGTCTCTTCCCCTTTTCACGTTGCACTTAAGGTCAACTTTTTATGTCAACTTTTTATTCGCCTCTGGCCAGATGGACGAAACTTGCAGCTGCACTTCAGGTCAAGGTTGTCTCTTCCCCTTTTCACGTTGCACTTAAGGTCAACTTTTTATGTCAACTTTTTATTCGCCTCTGGCCAGATGGACGAAACTTGCAGCTGCACTTCAGGTCAAGGTTGTCTCTTCCCCTTTTCACGTTGCACTTAAGGTCAACTTTTTATGTCAACTTTTTATTCGCCTCTGGCCAGATGGACGAAACTTGCAGCTGCACTTCAGGTCAAGGTTGTCTCTTCCCCTTTTCACGTTGCACTTAAGGTCAACTTTTTATGTCAACTTTTTATTCGCCTCTGGCCAGATGGACGAAACTTGCAGCTGCACTTCAGGTCAAGGTTGTCTCTTCCCCTTTTCACGTTGCACTTAAGGTCAACTTTTTATGTCAACTTTTTATTCGCCTCTGGCCAGATGGACGAAACTTGCAGCTGCACTTCAGGTCAAGGTTGTCTCTTCCCCTTTTCACGTTGCACTTAAGGTCAACTTTTTATGTCAACTTTTTATTCGCCTCTGGCCAGATGGACGAAACTTGCAGCTGCACTTCAGGTCAAGGTTGTCTCTTCCCCTTTTCACGTTGCACTTAAGGTCAACTTTTTATGTCAACTTTTTATTCGCCTCTGGCCAGATGGACGAAACTTGCAGCTGCACTTCAGGTCAAGGTTGTCTCTTCCCCTTTTCACTGGAGGAAAAGTAGAAGGGGAACAGGGTGCTGCAATCCATATTGTTTTACTTGAT